TATTATCTTGGAAGTGATGATGATGAATTTGCACCATCTCGCGGATTTGTGCGAGAAGAGCTCATGTTAATAGCTGAACCAGAAAAAGTTGGATATCCACCTCAAAGCATATTATCTGTAAATGTTGCCTTTGTTACTAATAGAGAGATAGATCAAGCTATTGATTATGCTCAAAGACGTGGTCGTCAATGTCTAGGAAAGACTGGAGAAATAAATGAACATAATGTATATCTTTGGTCTTGTGAGAATGGTGCACACCAATGGGAATATCCATTAAAATACATCATGAAGAAATTCGAGTGGTGTCCTCTTTGCTGTCATACTAGTGAAAGAAATGTATGTTATATTTTTGAAGATCTGTTAGGCAAGAAATTTCTATCCTGTAGACCATCATTTTTGAATGGAATGCAACTTGATGGATATAATGAAGAGTTGCAACTAGCATTCAAATTCCATAGTCGGCAACATTATATTCTTAATTCAATGTTTCATAGGAGAGGTGATATAGATTTGGAGGAACAAAAATCACGAGATCAGAAGAAGCGGGATATATGCAAGGAGCAAGGTATATGTCTTATCGAAGTTCCCTATACATGTGATCTTCTTCCTTACATTAAGCATACGCTAATTGAGAAAGGATTCTTGAATAATTCCCCAAGTTAAGCGAGCTGGCTCCACGATGACCCGTCTGAAAATTTCATAATATATTTTTAAAGTATGATATTAAGCAATATGAAAGATCATAAGAAACATCAAGTCAAAAAGCTTGATCGAGCAGATAGAATTATTCTCCATATTGATGAGATAAAAGATGCAAAAAGATTCAACGGATTGAACTCAACCCCCCAATGGCCTTTCACCCTTCTGATCTCAGGACGGACCAATTCAGGAAAAACTAACGAAGTCGTGAACCTATTATTGGGAAACAAGCTATATCGAATGTTTAATGGTAAAAAAGGTGGCACTAGATATATCAAAAATGATGATTTACTACTTATTGGCCATCATCTTAACGAGCCGAAATATAAGTATCTCAAATCATCATATCAGATAATCGCAAATAGCCCAAAACCATATCGTGAAGATATCTCATTTCGGGCTATGAAGCCTGATAAAATTCCAAAGATAGATTCTTCCAAGCGCTTTTCTCCAGAAAGAGGAACAGTTGTTATATTCGAAGACCTATGTGCCGATTCGAAAAAAGTCCAGGAGAAGATTGTTCCTTATTTTACTGAAGGACGTCACAAAAATATAAGCCCAATCTATGTAACGCAGAGTTTTTTTGATTGTCCGAAGATAATAAGGAAAGAATTAAATTATATTGTACTCTTTAATGGCTCTACTTCTGATGAACTAGCCCGTAT